AGACATGCTCACTGGACACGAAATCCCAAGGACACATTCCACAGGCCCAAGCCCCACAGTTACCAAGTATGCTGCATACACCATCGAAGGATGGACACGAAGGAGTGAGACAATCAACACAAATGTATGACAGCTTAAAAATCTAATTACTGTGAATTTACAGCAGCGTGTTCACCTTTACCCAACTCATCACCTTTGCTACCTGCAGCCTGGGACTCTGATGAAAACATGCTCCTTCCTCAAAACGTGCCCACCCTGGTTTTCATCCTTCCTGGGATAGCTTGGAAGTTTCCTCAGAAACAGCACTAGATTTTTTTGCATCCCTTCTCAGACAAATGCCTCCAAATCATCCAATGAGTGAGGACACCCTGCCCAAGGCAGCCTGAGCACAGCACCACAGAACATGGTGCTGAACGGGCTGCAATGACACAAGGACACCCCTTCTGACTCGTCATCATGTCATCACCGAAGGGAAGGTGGACAAGAGCTTTGTCTACACTAGTACCCCTACATCAAGTGCTCTGCAATTAAGGAACCTAAAGCCAGTGAAGATGCAGAAGTCATTTGTGTTTTACTAGGGGGAAGGACAAGTGTAAGCTGGCTTGGATGGTTTAGCTGGAAGATTTGCTAGGGTACAGCTATGGCAAACTGTCCAACACCTGATTTTTTTGTGGGTCTTGTAGCACCCAGGATCTGTCTGCTTACCCCTAGGAGCCAAGAAAGCCAAAATCCAAACAGCTCCTGAACTCCATCAGTATGTGTTTCATTTTTAAGTTGTTCTGCTAGCTACCTCAGAGGCCACAGGACACCAGTAAGAGTGTCTGGAAAATCTAAAGCCATGTGCTCAGCTGGAAACATTCAATCCCCACCACTGGGAAAGTGGATGACTACACTAAGTTCTGTAGTCTGCTGAAGGCCCCCTTCTCCATTTCCTGTCCAAGTAACACAGCATATAAAGTTCTACCTCAGATGGAATGTGAAAACTCCACAGTGAGAACTTAGCCGCAAAAGCCCAAGAAAACAGATTTTCAGAGTCACCAGTTCAGCAGCACAACTGAACCACTCTGCGGTCCAACCAAGCCATGAACTGGCACCAGATGGGTGACAAGAGGGAAGCCTCCAATCTGCAGGCACCAGACCCCAGGAGTTGGGACCTTCTGGCTCTGAAGCCCGAGAGAAGGAAGCAGGAGAGCTGCAGGGCCCCCCCCCACGGCCCAGGCACTGACCCTGCCGGAGGAGGACGTGTCGCACGGCCGTGTCGACGTAGTAATTCACCGGGTCTCCACTGTGGATCATCAGCCCGTCCACGAACTTCATGGACTTGGCGCGCTGCCCCCGCAGCTTGCCGGACACCACCACCTCGCAGCCCTTGGCGCCGCTCTCCATGATGAAGCGCAGGACACCGTAGCAGGCTCTGCGGGGAGAGCGCCCACACAGCGTTACTCCCACCCGGCTCCGCGGGGGCCTTCCAGCCCCATTTCAAGCACAACCACGCTTCAGTTTCTGTCTGTAAAACCCTTCCAAACACACACCCGCCGTCAAAGCAGCAAAAGCCTTCATGTCATCTTAGTGCTGTCAAACCCAGCCTAAGGAAACTCCTGTGAGTCCTTGGAGGGTTCTTCGTAAGGCTTGGGGAAGTGGCTGCAAAATGCCTGGCAGAAAAGGCCCTGGGGGTGCGCATGGCCAGCTGGTTGAACGTGAGCCAGCCTGGGCCCAGGTGGCCAAGGCCACCAGCATCCTGGCCTGGATCAGCACTAGTGTGGCCAGCAAGAGCAGGGAGGTGATTGTGCCCCTGCACTCAGCACTGCGGAGGCCACAGCTTGAGGACTGGGGTCAGTTTTGGGCCCCACAGGATAAGAAAGACCTTGGGGTCTGGGGAACATTGCTTGTGAGGAGCAGCTGAGGGACCTGGGGGTGTTGGGCCTGGAGAAGAGAAGGCTCAGGGGAGATGTTGTTGCTCTCAACACTCCCTGAATGGAGGCTGGAGTGAGCTGGGGGTTGGTCTCTTCTCCCAAGGAACCAGTGACAGGACAAGAGGAAAGGGGCTGAAGTTGCACCATGGGAGGTTTTGATTGGATATTAGGAGGAATTTCTTTCCTGCCAGAGTGCTGAGGCCTTGGCATGTGATGGAGTCTCCAGCCCTGGAGGGGTTCAAAAACATGCAGACATGGCACTTGGGGACATGGTTTAGTAGCCGTGGCAGTGTTGGGTTAATGTTTGGACTTGAGGACCTTATAGGTCTTTTCCAACCTTAACGATTCTATGAACAGTGACAAACACTCTTTGTGGCACAAAAGCAGCTGCACAGCCACACCAGGAGCACAGCTCCTTATCCCTTCTCAGACAAATGCCTCTAAATCATTCAACGATGGCAGGCCACCCCTGCTGACAACCACGAGCAGCACCACAGAACATGATGCTGCCGAGGTACCGCAACAAGGGCCCCCTGCTTCTGACTCGTCATCTTATCATCACTGAAGGGATCTGAGAAGCAAGGCCACTGTCACCTGAGCTACAACTCAGCCAGAGGGCCTGAAGTCGTGTTTTCCTCCTCCACTCATTTATTCACAAAGAAAGAAATGCAAAGTTTATGCACGCAGGCCAGATGACTTGTAATTTACTTCCAGAATACATCATCTAGCAACGAATACCACAAATAACTGTATTAAAGAAAAAGCCTGCATATAAAACAGGAACTCCCCCCTCCAAGCACACCGCTACCAGGTTAAGTTCTCCAACTAAAGACCAGCTGGCAAGTTGCTGTGGGCTATCTGAACGCCAGCAGGTCCGCCGGGCTCTACTCACCGCCGCACTGCTAAGCCTCCCAGGAGCTTGTACCGCAGGGACTCTGCCTGGGCGATGGCACACAGGCCTCTGGTGGCCACCTTCTCGGCGTAGAGCTACAAAGGAAAAGAACTCAACTCAAACTGGGCTGCATTTCAAGATTTTAACTGTACACGGGAGCTTCTTGCTACTCCACGCCCCACCCTCCACAGGCAGTTTGGTCAGTCCTACATTGACACGCAGAAACCTCCTCGGATGCTGCACACCCTTAAGTCCTCCAAGGAAGCAGACATTCAAAATCATGCACGTGACAGTCCTAGGGCTGACAAATCACCATGTTCTCCATGAGGGTTTGTGCCATTTGTGATGTTTAAGCATTTTCTGAAGATAATCAGCAATTTCCGCTGTAGAATTTGATGCAGCAACACTGACCAAGCAGGAATCAATGTGAGTGCTACCCCAGACCACACATTCCCTCCCCTGGCTGGTTTTAGAGGAAAGTACCAGTTCTCAAAAATTAAAATACTAGAAACGACTGCTGTGTCACTTTACTGCCTATTATGGCATCATACCCAAAAATCTTAAAGATCCTTCAAGGACAGAAGATTAGGAACTCAGTAAGGCAAATGGTTAATAACCTTCAATAACATCAATACCAAAGATTATGCTGTTGGACTCAAACATCTTAAAGGTCTTTTCTAAGCTAAACTTTTCCATGATTTTCACCTCAGCAGCGGGACAACAACATTTACAGATAAGCTTAAAAAACTTTATCTACATCCTCCCTGCTGGGAAAAGCAGGCCAAGTGACAGCACTCAAACCACCACAAAGAGCAAAGCATTCTGTATTTCAGTGTATTGGGAGAACAGGTAGAACAGGCTCCGACTTCTCTTCAAGTCAAACCACCCTTCAGCTCACAGCACCCAGATGCTGCACATCCCACCTATCTCCAGCTTCACCCCGGGCAGTTTTACCTCAACGCTTCCCTCGGGGAATCCAAACCTCTTCTGCACGACAGCCGTCAGCTCCCGGATGCGCCGGCCCTTCTCCCCCAGCACATTCTGCGTCCTGCCAAACACACCAGAGCAGCACAGCTGAGAAAGGTCTCCAGGCCTGCGCCTGTAACCACCCCACAGAGCTTCCAGACCGAGCAGCTCTGAGTTGTAAAGCTGCTGTGTCAATGAAGATCACCTCAGGATCTCTTCCTCAGGGAGCCTCCCGTAACAATATTTAGCAGTTTAAGCTTCAGCCTGCAGCAGCGTCCCTCAGAGCCCTGCTCAGCACCCATGAGTCCACAGCAGCACCTCAGTTACCTGGTGGCAAGTATGATAATCTCAGTCCTGGTGGGAGTCACTCGTACTTCTACTCCAGAGTAGCCATCTTCAGCCAGCTCACGAGTCAGAAACTCATTCAGCTCAGCTTTGAAGATACCATCAGCGACAAACTGAAACACAAACCGACCAAGTCAGGCTCTGTTCAAGTGCTCAGGCTGAACACAAGATTTTCCCATTCTGAGCTTGGGGCAATGCATCCCTGGGACCTTTGTGAGGACTGGAAATCTCTACCCCCACAGAAAGGAAGCAGCAGTAAGTGCTGAAGAGACCTCTGGAGATCATCTCCTCCAGCTCCCCTGCCCCAGGTCACCCACAGCAGGGTGCCCAGGGTCACATCCAGGGGGGTTTGGAATCTCTCCAGAGCAGGAGACTCCACAGCCTCTCTGGGCAGCCTCACACCAAAGAAGTTTCTCCTCCTGCTCAGGTGGAACCTCCTGGGTTCCAGTTTGGGCCCATTACCCCACGTCCTACCGCAGGGCCGCACCGACAACATCTCCACCGAATGGACAGCTCACTTCCAGCAGGACCCCAGGGTAGAGCCCGACCCAGCCCCTCCCCGGCGCACAGCGCA